GAATACTACATATAGAACATATTAATGCATTACTATATATTAACTATATAATAACTATATAAACTATATATAACTATATAATACTACCTAGAACATATTAATGTAAATACATACATTAACATGACTGCTAAATGTCTGAAATATAGCATATCATTAGGCACCTACACACAAACACTATCACTGAAAATTAGTGGACAGCACAACTAGTTAATGTCAAAAAATGCAGAATATAATATAGATGTATAGCAAATTCATATTCATTTATTATATATACATTTCATAGGCCCCCTCATTGTTCATTTGTCTAAMAGAAATATACTTCATCAGTTGTCAATGAGGATGTGAGAGACAGTATCARAAGTCTAGTCTGAATCAACATAAATAACATCTATTGCTCTCCTCTCATCCATCAAGCTAGTCAACCTTCTACAATGAAAAATCAGGATGACCACAGATCATTTACCCATTGTAAATCCATTCTGACTACCCCCAATCACACCTTCTTGTTATTATTACGTTYGGAAATGGCTTCCAGGAGAATTTGCTCCATCATCTTTTGAGGGATCAGATGAGGCTGTAGTTACCTGTTTCCTTTTTCTTGCCCCTTTTGAAGATAGTAGTGATATTTGCTTTTTTCTRGTCCTTAGGATCCTTCCTTAGTTGCTACAACCTTTCAAAGACAATTAAGAGTAGCCTTGTAGCGACATCAGCCAGCTCTCAGCTTTCATGGATTCAATCCGAGAGGTACACAGATCTGTGTGTCCAGTCTGTTTAAATGCTTCCTAAYGTGATCCTCCTCTACCAAATGAAAAGTCTTCCTAGCTCAATACTTTCCTAAAGGTCTTAGCGTCTTGAGATTCCTGTAGGCCAGTCTTACCAGTAAAGACCCAAGGCAAAACCAGCAATGAGTACCAGAGCCTTTTTAATGTGCTCTGTCACCAGGCCTCCTGCCCCATGAAGCAATGAGCCCCCAACTTTGTTAGCCTTTTTCTGCTGATATACTTGTAGAGGCCCTTCCTGTTCTTCATGCTCACACCAGATTCAACTTCAGATGGTCTCCAGCTTTCCTAACCCTGTTCCTGCATAATTGGGCAATGCCTGTATATGCCTCCTGAGCAGCATGGTTGTGCTTCTACATCTTGTATGTTTCTTCTTTATGTTTGAGTTCTGTCAAAAGCTCCTCCCCTATCCATGGAGACCTCCTATTGCCATTGCTTGACTTCCTTCATGTCAGTGATAGACTGATCACAAATTTGGAGGAGATCATCCTTGAAAATCAAACAGCTCTCCTGGATTATTCTTCTCTCCATCTCTCATGAAATTCTCCCAAGCAGATCTCTGAACAGTCCAAAGTCTGCTCTCTTGAAGTCCAGGGCCATGATCCTGCTTTTTGTCCTTCCCACTGTTGCAGAATCCTGAACTTCACCACCTCATGGTTACTGCAGCCAAGGCTGCCCCCAACATTCACACTGCAATAAGTTCTTCCTTATGTGTAAGGATAAGAGGCAATAAGAGGCAATAAATGTGTAAGGATAAGTTGCCCTTACTGGCAACTCAACTACCCATTAGAAAGATATCACTGATGCACTGTAGAAACTTCCCGGATTGCTTGTTCCCTGCTGTGTTGTCTTCCCAGGTAGTTCAAGGTCTTCCATGAGGGTCAGGATCTGCAACTGTGAGACTTCTTCCAGTTGTCTAAGAAAGGCCACATCTCTACACTCAGACAAACACCCACAACACTGGCATCTACACCAGTGTGCACTCTAATCTTGACCCATAAACTCTCATCTGGCTCATCATTTATCCCTCAGCAGAGCTACATACATTCCTACTGCTCTCTCACATAAAGGGCAGCTCACTTTCTGCAACATCTCACTCTGCCCTTGCTAAAGAGCCTGTATCCATCTGTGGCAGCACTATAGTTGCATAAACTGTCTCACGATGTCTCTGTAATCCAATGAGATTATATCCCTGCAAACCTCTRTAATTTAGTAGAAAAGGTTTTTCCTGACTGTTAAAGTATCCTGTACAAATGAGTAGACTTTCTCAACAAATCAATTTTACAAGGGCAGTCAAAATTAAAACCTCCAAAAGCGGTATCCCATGTTACTAAATACTATTGCTCTTCAACTCATGCTCTTCAACCACATATTTTTTATTCTTGTTAAGAACTGTTAGATTTTTTCTTTAAAAAATAATTTTATGATACAAAAGCCCTAGTTATAGGCCAAAAATATTGACTAAGGAGGAGACAAAAAGAAAAAACAGATTATCAAGCTCATGGACAAATGCAGAAGAATAACACCACAATTTTGACCAGTAGGAAGATCAACACACCAATAGTCTTGTGGTGGCCAAGATTTCTGTAGACCCCCAAAAAAACTGAAAGCTAGAAGGCAGTCCTTAAGCAGAAAGTATAAGATGAATCTATATTTAAGRCCTAGATCCACGATGCTATGTAAGGTTGAAGAAGGTGCATACATACTTCTGAGGATCTTTGCTATAACTGCTAACATCATCATTTAGCAAGTAGGAGTGATGTCTGATAAGTGGAGAGAAATATCTATAAATCTATCGTGGAAGCAGGCACTTAAGATGGTTCCTTTTTGGTAAGGCATGTCTTTCATAGCTCTCTGTACCACCACCTGTTCCTGAGAACCTACTCCTGACAAGAGATGACAGTATAGGCAGAGCTATGCAAGATAACACCATATACTCAGTTTTGAATAGACTGAATACATTAAAGCACAGATTAAACTCAACAAGGCAACAAGTTAACTTGATTTGCTGCAAATGTAGAAAATGTGATGAAATTTGTACATATGTGAGATAAATTAAACCCCAGGGATGATAGATAATAATCAATAATAATACAAAAAAAAAAAGCACTGCTTCTTACATAAAGGGTCTTAAGAGAGGTCAGAATCACCATCTTCACTTTACAGTTACAGATGCTAATATAAAGATAGGCAAAAACATTTCATCTGAGTTTATTCAGTGGCAGAGCAAGGAACAGACCTCACATGCCCAGAAGCAGTCTTCTGTTCAAAAGACTATTTGATAAAGGGAGTTATGCTGCTAAGAGGTAATGAAAACGGAGAACATACGCAGGGAATTCTTTCCAGTTATCAGTGTGCAGGCGAGCAGAGAAAAATTTTCTTCTGAGTGACAACTTATGTTCATGTCATTTAGACTTTAGAAAGAGCTCTCATCATGGGTCCTTGGAGAACCATCCCTCGAAATACTAMAGAAAGATCAGGATGATATAGACAGGAATGCAACAAGAACTGATTAATACTTCAGTGACTAAATACAAAGATTTCCTGTCCAGCTGTAATGCATCTTAATCTGAATATCGTTTCACTCTACCAAATGTACCTTTGGAATTTAATACCAAGATTTAAAACCTTCATTTATTTTTTTGTTATTGGCATTCACCATCGATTATAATTTTTTTCATCTTCTTCACACCTCCAAGCAATGTCCCTTTTATACTTACTATGCCTCAGATTTGCAGAAATGCCTTTCTTCCACACACCCATGTTACAGAGGTGGTCAGTCAAGGATATTTCCAGCCTCAAAAGCCTTTCTTTCACTAGTGTGCCCCTCTTTCCAGAAGCCATAGGGTTGCCTCATTTTTCTCATAAAACTGTGAAGCAAAGTGGTTATACCAATCTGAGAGGTGAGARTGGGTGAGAGGCTGAATTGACCAAAAACCTAAGCCATCGGCCAGGAAATAAAAGCTAATGCAGAAGTCGGTATATATAAATATTCACCAACTAACATCAAATCCCATATGTTACTACATATTGGGATTCCATGAGGAAGCACCTAGAAAAACAAGTAGCACAGAATGCCATTTTTGGAAAGGACAAGCTAAGGTTGTTGGACTATTTTTATTAATATTTTTAAGTATGGTTTTGAAAGGTGTTTAATTTTGCCTGTAGCTAACCTTCACATATGTAAGTGATCCTCAGATTTCTACAAAATGGCCTCAATGGTTGAAAGCAGGCATATTTTTTAGTACTTTGAATAGTATCCTGAGCTTCCTAGAGGGAAAGATCAGGTTATATTTTCACCACAAGCTCTTCTACAGGATTCTCTGTAGGCTTTCGAACTCATTTTAACACTCTCCTCTGTATTATATTGTAGAAGATCAGAGGGAATCTAACCCATCCTTYCAAAGCACAGGATAATTTCATCCCATGAAACCTGTCCCAAATGCAACAGCTGTGGTTAAAGCAGAGCACAACACCTAGAAAGCCATCCAATTYTGGTTAAAAAATACCAAAGATAACAAAAACATGCCACACTCACAGCTTTTAGTTGGCTGGTGTCTTTCTCCTGCAGTATAATGAGCACTGTGTCAACAGCCCAGCGTAAGAGGCACCATGTGCTTTGCTTTAAATATGACAGGCTTATGCGACCTGCTGGTTCAAGGCTCAACATCTCAGTACGCACCAGAGCACGGAACAACACTTGGAAGGATGCGGACAGTCAACACTAACTCCTGCTGAACCACAGTAGGAGAAACAAGACTTGGGAACAGAAGTGACCTGGGTGTCTTCAGCGTAGCTGGGGCCCAGAAGAAATCTAGCCACATCTACACAGCACTGTGGCCAAAAGCTTCTACTACCTATGCCTACAGACCCAGCCACACAACATGTGTGTTCAGCATTAATTCCAGCTCTTCAAGGTACAAAATGATACTGTGCTATAAACCATACTGTYCTTGGACAGGAGACCTTGTCAACAGGGTGGTAAGCAGTTATTGCTAGGCAGTTCTCAAGATGTCTTGAAGTCTACACAACTCTGTCCTGCCCTGCTCATGTGTTTGGGTTTGGGTGTCTCCACTTTGTGCTTCTTTCCATAATGGAAGCTTCTTCCTAATGACCAGCACTAATTCTGACAATAATGTCTTGTCTTATGCTGTTTTAAGATGAAGGGAGCACTAGCTGCAGATACCCCTCAAATACTCTCCCATAAAAAGAAACACCTACAGTCCACTCTAAGGCTGTCCTTGGTTCTTTCACAGGTCCATTGGAGACTGCAATGTTGAGCGTATGCACAGGAGCCAGGTGCTGGAGGCCTGACCTGGAGATTGCTTTCCTGCAAATTGTAAAGAAAAAGCAAACATGAGTACACATCCATACAGTTATCCAATACAATTAGCCACACCACCAGAACTCAGGACAGCAACATAGCATCTGATTCCCATTTTAATGAAATGGTGCTTGATTGCTGTCCTTCTGTTGCATAAGTTTAGAAAGAGAATAAAATAGTTTGATCACTGAAAATATTACTTAATGAAGACCAGTTAATCATCTGGCACTAAGTCGAAACATCAAACCAAAGCAATATGGTTTGTTTTTCCCATTTCAGTGGAGATCCCATTCTTTATAGCTATTCCGTACCATGTAAAAGSACTGTTGAATCAATTTAAGCACAACTTCAAATAGCTTTTATTGGAGGAATAAAGTATGAGTTTCTAAGAAGAATGAAACATCCTGTAGTTTTATGTAGTTTATAGACTGGAATAAAAGTGTTCCATTCAGCATCAGACTAAACACTGGCTTACCATTTAGGAAAGGGAGTCCCATACTCCTCTTTTTGATGGTATCAGAATCTTTCAGGGTATTTATTCTGTCTTCTTCCCACTTCACTCCCATCTTTCTGRCCCAAAGTCCTTCTTGCACCTCCTATGTGGCCTCCTTCAAAGCACACAGATGGTGACGAGAAGCACTCCTGGAGCCCCACCAGGGCTGGGGGTGTTTCTACCACCTGTTTACCACACTACAGCCAGGCCCACAATTCCAGCCTTGAACACACAACACAACCCAGGGCTGGTACAAGACCAAGCTGCACTTGGACAGTAGATTTCAGAAGCTTTGCAAAACTACTATGTCATATATTTTACACCACCTGCCGATGGTGCAGGGGCAACAGTGGAGCACAGGACACCAAAATATCCCAGTGAAAGATCCCCTTTTTCAAGGTCAGTGCATTCATCCCCTACAAGGCAAGATAATAATCTGCTTGTGAAGCGCRTATTTGTGATACCACTGCCATTGCGTAACAGCTATTTTTTCTTGTCTCCTCATCTTACCACTGTCCCAAATCAATAAAGGTCAGAGACAGTGATGACAGTCCAAGTCAGCCATATGCTAAATACATCTTTTCACTTTCCTGAAAATACTCAGTGCAAGAAACTTGGAAGCTTCACTGCTCACAGTGCATGTCCCGAAAAATCGAGTAGAATGAATAAGAACGTCCTAAATTTCCATTTCTGTGGGTAGCATAAACAACTCAGCATATTAACATCAGCCTTTGATCACCCAGTGTCCCCTGTCCACCTACCAGTGTGGGCAAGATATTGACATTAATTTTATATTCGACTGAAGCCCATTAGCAATGGGAATGAGCCCAAGGGTAAGATTTTCACAAGTTAGCAATGTATCAGGAGAAAGCAATTGGGCAAAACTGTTTTATTCTATACATAACAGCATAACCTAATCTATAGGCATTCCGAAAGACCAGAGGAAAGTCTTAAAGATGCAAACCATGAAGAACTACATAAATACACTTAAAAAAAAGTTATTTTTCCAGAAGATTGTGTTCAATATTTGACAGTCTCCCTCCATGTTGCTTTTGCTCTCAACTCAGTTATTGGTGCTTTCTAGACACCAAAGCACGTTCTTGTGCCTAATCATCTTTATAATATGACAATTTCCTGTGGAAATGGAGCTCTATCACATTTTCCACCAKGTAGCACTGATGGTGATAAGCCACATCAGTGGCTGCTTAGTTCTGTACTCAAAACAGATGAARGTAGCTTCCAATTTGTACTAAGAATATAAGCAAAGCCAGCTGGAAGACAAAAAATTAATAATTAATTATCAGTTGATGAAAAATGCTAGCATTTTCAACCAACATTGCTTACAGCCTATTACTTGTCAGACAATACAGCCGATCTAGTAAGCAAATTTGTTTTGAATATTGCTAGTTTGTTATGAATATTGCTAGGAACAAATTTATCTGACCACTCTGAAGACAAGACTACCAGCCACAGGGCAAATTCAGCGGAGATTTAAAAGGCAAATATGCCTAATGAACGGCTGCAGACATCACAGTCTCAAGTCTTAAGATGCTGTTTCAAGTGAGAATTAGAGATGTGCAAACCTCCTGGAGCAGAATCTGAGTCTTGGCCCACGTTATCTAAAGAATGAGCCAAGGCTGATGAGCCTTTCAGGGTAGACCTGGCAGAGCTGTGTGCAAACAGCCCATCCTTCCTTCGTGTGCCAGGCTGGATTTACGGCTTTGGCTRGAAAGCACACAAAACAGAGGCACAGGAATAATGCTTTTTTGCAGGTTTGTTTGGASACAAAAGCCTTGACATGATCTCAGGGAGAGCAAACCTACATTAACTGGACAAAAATGACCATTAGGACAAGAGGCAAAGTAAAAATGACTACTCTTATACAGCTGCTTAAAAGAATTCTGCCTAGACGTGAAGTGTCAAAACACAGTCCAAACACCACAGAAGCCTTTCCTACAAATTAAAAAAAAAAAACCCAAACACATGGCCTTCTAATTTAAGTACAAAGCAATAAAGTAGAGAAGGAAGAAAAAAACAGGGAAAGGAAAAGTAGAACAAATCTGATAACAGAGCAGATGCTGTGCAACCAGGTGATTGTAACTCAGATTACTCTAACCAGCAGATTACATCATCTGGCATTTTTCCAATCAAAGGTAATGACTGGATTTTAGCTATTTTTTGCAGAAATTTCATCTCTGCTATGCTCAGTACATGAATGAATATACAAGCTCTGTAGGCAGGCTTTCCCCTAGAAATAAAAGTAATGACTATTCACCTGATAACATGTAGCCAAGGAAAGTGAAYCCGTGCTATCCTTTAACATTCCTTTCTTCCAACATTAAATACACAGCTTTGTTAAAATGGGCCCCTTGCTCAGCTTGCAAACTCGGAGTGGAAACAGATGTCGCAACCAGCAACAAGGAATCGTTGCAGGGTAAGTAGTAAGCAGTAATTGGCTAATTACTTTTTCAGATCAAATAATCAGTAGTTTGTAGTAGAGGCTGTTATCAGTTCACCTAATACACCGCTGGGGCAAACAAGCTTGTATTGCACTCAGGTGTAGATATCATTAAATRTGCCACATAAAAAAAAATATTCTGGCACTAATTCCCTAGTTTATACCATTATGGAAGCCCTTTAACAATGTAGTTGACTGTCTTGAAAACKAAAGAAATCTGACATTTAAGTGATTCAAGTAAAATAACTACTAGAAAACAAAAAGCATTACATTTCCTTTTCCATCTCACTGCAAAGTCAGGCGAGACTCAACCTACTTATTAGATCAAAAAGGATACATATTTGATTAGAGGGGATTTGAGTTTATATCCCAGGCTTTGGYTTCCCTGAGCCTTTTCCTCCACTCCAGGCATATAAAAATCCTCCAATGAGCTGTTTAGACTGAATAGTTATGCCTGATCCCTCAGGAACTAAAAAAGACAATTAGTCAATGGTATTAATCTAATTTAAGTGTTAAAAACAGCTATTTAGAAAAGAAAGAGTGCTGTAGCATGGGGCACACTTGATGGGCTTGTGAATCACATTGTCACTAGTGTTTGAATCACTACCTACCCAGAACAGGGCTATTACCTTATTACCCTCCTTTCCATAGGGATGCAAGTTATCATTGAGATAGTCTCCCAGGCGGATGGTAGAGAAAACAGCAAAATGCAAGGACTGGCTTTTAAGGATCCCATGGCTAGCATATCTGCCAGCAGATGGGTTTTTGGGAGTCTTCTCTCAGTTGGAGTTAAGATATTTACAAAGAAAACAGCAGTTATTTGTATAGCAAGATTTAAGTTAGCATAGCTCTTCTTTCCTTAGCTATTCAATGTAGCCCCCTTAGAGACCATGTCTGCAAGCTCCCCCGATCTGTCAACCATGACTGGAAAATTCCTGCATGAATCCAGAGAGTACCTTCGCTCTCAGGGAATTTATATATGCTTGAATTTGTTGGAGGTGGTTTCCTGCAATTTGCTGCTTATGAAAGTCATGAACAAAATGTACTGGCTAAACTYGAGCATTATTGAAGTTTTCCCCACGCATCTCTGCTGACTGCCTGCACAGCMCTCCCGCAACCTGCTGTTCCTGGCTTGCTTTCCAGGCATGTAATATGCTCCTTCAGGGCTGACCACTGAGCAACAAGTCTAATCCACCTCAAATGCCCAAGATTTCTGATTTTTTTTGTACTAGATACAAGAGAAATCATCTTTGGGCAAACCAAAAATCCATCTGGTCCAGTATGCTGGACCAGACAGCGGCCAGTAGCAGGTGTTTAGAGAAGCTCAGCCCCAGATTGGGTGATCCTTCCCCTGAGATACTCCAGACCCAGCTTCCAGTAATCAGTAGTTTAAGGACTTCCTGAGCTAGAGGCTGCTTCCAGACCTTAATGCTTAATAGCCTCTAATGGCTCTTTACTCCAGGAATGTGTTGGTCTTTCTCTGAACCCATTTATACTCTTGGTCTCCACAGCAGCCTATGTAATGAGCTCTACAATTTAATTTCGGGCACTGTAAAGTACTTCCTTCTGTCYGATTTAAAAATTCTGCTTGATAATTTAATTGCTGTGTCATATTGTGAAGAACAGTGAGTAATCATTTGCCTCTCTACACCTTCTGTGATTTTATGAGGCTCTATTTTATATCTCTTCATTTGTCTTTTCTTCTCCCCAAGTGGAAGCAGCCTAGACTGTTTAGGCTTTTGCTGATGCCAGAGCTGTTCTAGCCCTGTCAGGCTTGATATCCTTTTCAAGTTCAATTACGTATTTTAGGTAGGATTTCCCAAAATAGAAAGATATCTGGCTGCACTAGAGGTTTTATAGAGTGGCACCATCATACTTTACGCTTCCTTCTTTTTTCCTGGTGTTTCAAACCTTCTGCTTGCTTTCGTGATCATTGAAAACACCAAATTCATCTTTTCATAGGAGTACTCAAAATTATGCAAAAAAACTTTCCTCAGAGACCCCAATGGAGCCTCTTCTCCTTCTCACCCCATCCCCGCTCAGGCTCCAGACAGA